AAGCAGTGGTATCAACGCAGAGTACTAAAGGAATGTTTTGAGGTTCATCTTAATGAGAGATTTTTACCGTTTTTGGTGGAAATTGTGGGGGAAAACAAAACTTTTCGTTCCGAAAACTGGTCAGCTACACAAAATGCCTGCCGGAGCTCAACCACGAGACAACATGTTCCATGCTGTGTCTTCATTGCGGGAGCAAAAGTATTTTCTGTGGCTAAAATTCTGTCGAAATCGAGATTTTTACCGTTCCACATAGAAGGCCTCCCGGAGCTCAACCAGCGAGACCACAGCTTTCATGCTGTGTCTTCATTGCAAGAGCAAAGGTATTTTCTGTGGCTGAAGTTCTGTCGAAATCGAGATTTTTTACCGGTTTTGGTGGAAATTGTGGGGGAAAACAAAACTTTTCGTTCCGAAAACTGGTCAGCTACATAGAAGGCCTGCCGGAGCTCAAACACGAGACCACTTCTTTCAAGCTGTGTCTTCATTGCGGGAGCAAAGGTATTTTTTGTGGCTGAAATTCTGTCGAAATCGAGATTTTTACACTTTTCGTTCCGAAAACTGGTCACCTACATAGAAGGGCTGCCGGAGCTCAACCAGCGAGACCACAGCTTCCATGCTGTGTCTTCATTGCGGGAGCAAAGGTATTTTCTGTGGCTGAAATTCTGTCAAAATCGAGATTTTTACCGTTTTTGGTGGAAAATGGGGGGAAAACAAAACTTTTCGTTCCAAAAACTGGTCAGCTACATAGAAGGCCTGCCGGAGCTCAAACACGAGACCACTTCTTTCAAGCTGTGTCTTCATTGCGGGAGCAAAAGTATTTTCTGTGGCTAAAATTCTGTCGAAATCGAGATTTTTACCGTTTAACAAAATTTTTCGTTCCAAAAACTGGTCAGCCACATAAAATGCCTGCCGGAGCTCAGCCAGCGAGACCACAGCTTCCATGCTGTGTCTTCAATGCAAGAGCAAAGGTATTTTCTGTGGCTGAAATTCTGTCGAAATCGAGATTTTTACCGTTTTTGGTGGAAATTGTGGGGGAAAACAAAACTTTTCGTTCCAAAAACTGGTCAGCTACATAGAAGGCCTGCCGGAGCTCAACCACGAGACCTCTTTTTCCATGCTGTGTCTTCATTGCGGGAGCAAAGGTATTTTCTGTGGCTGAAATTCTGTCGAAATCGAGATTTTTACCGTTTAACAAAACTTTTCGTTCCAAAAACTGGCCAGCCACATAGAAAGCCTGCCGGAGCTCAATCAGCGAGACCATAGCTTCCGTGCTGTGTCTTCATTGCAAGAGCAAAGGTATTTTCTGTGGCTGAAGTTCTGTCGAAATCGAGAATTTTACCGTTTTTGGTGGAATTTGTGGGGGGAAAACAAAACTTTTTGTTTCAAAAACTGGTCAGCCACATAGGAGGCCTGCTGGAGCTCAACCAGCAAGAACACAGCTTCCATGCTGGGTCTTCATTCCGGGAGCAATGGTATTTTCTGTGGCTGAAATTTTGTTGAAATCGAGATTTTTACTGTTTTTGGTGGAAATTGTGGGGGAAACAAAACTTTTCGTTCCAAAAACTGGTCAGCCACATGGAAGGCCTGCCGGAGCTCAACCAACGACAAAGCCCACGCGTTGATTTAGAGGATTTTTTGAAACGAAGTCCCCCATGACTCCGAAAATTTTTACGAAGTCCCCTTTGACCCCAGAATTGGGTGTGCCTGACATTCTGAGGCTTTGGCTATTGCCACACTTCGCTCAAAAGCGCCAAAAAGCGCTTAAAAGTGCCTCAAAGCGCCCAAATTTCTTTGTTGTCTCTTCACTTTCTCGTGTGAGGAGAGATGAGAGAGTGAGGAGGGGGGTTAGAGTAGTTTGGGCGCTTTTGAGCGCTTCTGAGCGTAGTCTGGCTAGGGCCTTCAACATTCGACAAACTTTTCCAGCATAAGTGTTATTAAGGCAACATACACGTGACACAAAAGGCATTTTGCCGACTGAGGTGAGCAAAGGATTGTAAAGGAATGTTTTGAGGTTCATCTTAATGAGAGATTTTTACCGTTTTTGGTGGAAATTGTGGGGGAAAACAAAACTTTTCGTTCCGAAAACTGGTCAGCTACACAAAATGCCTGCCGGAGCTCAACCACGAGACAACATGTTCCATGCTGTGTCTTCATTGCGGGAGCAAAAGTATTTTCTGTGGCTAAAATTCTGTCGAAATCGAGATTTTTACCGTTCCACATAGAAGGCCTCCCGGAGCTCAACCAGCGAGACCACAGCTTTCATGCTGTGTCTTCATTGCAAGAGCAAAGGTATTTTCTGTGGCTGAAGTTCTGTCGAAATCGAGATTTTTTACCGGTTTTGGTGGAAATTGTGGGGGAAAACAAAACTTTTCGTTCCGAAAACTGGTCAGCTACATAGAAGGCCTGCCGGAGCTCAAACACGAGACCACTTCTTTCAAGCTGTGTCTTCATTGCGGGAGCAAAGGTATTTTTTGTGGCTGAAATTCTGTCGAAATCGAGATTTTTACACTTTTCGTTCCGAAAACTGGTCACCTACATAGAAGGGCTGCCGGAGCTCAACCAGCGAGACCACAGCTTCCATGCTGTGTCTTCATTGCGGGAGCAAAGGTATTTTCTGTGGCTGAAATTCTGTCAAAATCGAGATTTTTACCGTTTTTGGTGGAAAATGGGGGGAAAACAAAACTTTTCGTTCCAAAAACTGGTCAGCTACATAGAAGGCCTGCCGGAGCTCAAACACGAGACCACTTCTTTCAAGCTGTGTCTTCATTGCGGGAGCAAAAGTATTTTCTGTGGCTAAAATTCTGTCGAAATCGAGATTTTTACCGTTTAACAAAATTTTTCGTTCCAAAAACTGGTCAGCCACATAAAATGCCTGCCGGAGCTCAGCCAGCGAGACCACAGCTTCCATGCTGTGTCTTCAATGCAAGAGCAAAGGTATTTTCTGTGGCTGAAATTCTGTCGAAATCGAGATTTTTACCGTTTTTGGTGGAAATTGTGGGGAAAACAAAACTTTTCGTTCCAAAAACTGGTCAGCTACATAGAAGGCCTGCCGGAGCTCAACCACGAGACCTCTTTTTCCATGCTGTGTGCTTCATTGCGGGAGCAAAGGTATTTTCTGTGGCTGAAATTCTGTCGAAATCGAGATTTTTACCGTTTAACAAAACTTTTCGTTCCAAAAACTGGCCAGCCACATAGAAAGCCTGCCGGAGCTCAATCAGCGAGACCATAGCTTCCGTGCTGTGTCTTCATTGCAAGAGCAAAGGTATTTTCTGTGGCTGAAGTTCTGTCGAAATCGAGAATTTTACCGTTTTTGGTGGAATTTGTGGGGGAAAACAAAACTTTTTGTTTCAAAAACTGGTCAGCCACATAGGAGGCCTGCTGGAGCTCAACCAGCAAGAACACAGCTTCCATGCTGGGTCTTCATTCCGGGAGCAATGGTATTTTCTGTGGCTGAAATTTTGTTGAAATCGAGATTTTTACTGTTTTTGGTGGAAATTGTGGGGGAAACAAAACTTTTCGTTCCAAAAACTGGTCAGCCACATGGAAGGCCTGCCGGAGCTCAACCAACGACAAAGCCCACGCGTTGATTTAGAGGATTTTTTGAAACGAAGTCCCCCATGACTCCGAAAATTTTTACGAAGTCCCCTTTGACCCCAGAATTGGGGTGCCTGACATTCTGAGGCTTTGGCTATTGCCACACTTCGCTCAAAAGCGCCAAAAAGCGCTTAAAAGTGCCTCAAAGCGCCCAAATTTCTTTGTTGTCTCTTCACTTTCTCGTGTAAGCAGTGGTATCAACGCAGAGTACTGGGTTAGAGTAGTTTGGGCGCTTTTGAGCGCTTCTGAGCGTAGTCTGGCTAGGGCCTTCAACATTCGACAAACTTTTCCAGCATAAGTGTTATTAAGGCAACATACACGTGACACAAAAGGCATTTTGCCGGACTGAGGTGAGCAAAGGATTGTAAAGGAATGTTTTGAGGTTCATCTTAATGAGAGATTTTTACCGTTTTTGGTGGAAAATTGTGGGGGAAAACAAAACTTTTCGTTCCGAAAACTGGTCAGCTACACAAAATGCCTGCCGGAGCTCAACCACGAGACAACATGTTCCATGCTGTGTCTTCATTGCGGGAGCAAAAGTATTTTCTGTGGCTAAAATTCTGTCGAAATCGAGATTTTTACCGTTCCACATAGAAGGCCTCCGGAGCTCAACCAGCGAGACCACAGCTTTCATGCTGTGTCTTCATTGCAAGAGCAAAGGTATTTTCTGTGGCTGAAGTTCTGTCGAAATCGAGATTTTTTACCGGTTTTGGTGGAAATTGTGGGGGAAAACAAAACTTTTCGTTCCGAAACTGGTCAGCTACATAGAAGGCCTGCCGGAGCTCAAACACGAGACCACTTCTTTCAAGCTGTGTCTTCATTGCGGGAGCAAAGGTATTTTTTGTGGCTGAAATTCTGTCGAAATCGAGATTTTTACACTTTTCGTTCCGAAAACTGGTCACCTACATAGAAGGGCTGCCGGAGCTCAACCAGCGAGACCACAGCTTCCATGCTGTGTCTTCATTGCGGGAGCAAAGGTATTTTCTGTGGCTGAAATTCTGTCAAAATCGAGATTTTTACCGTTTTTGGTGGAAAATGGGGGAAAACAAAACTTTTCGTTCCAAAAACTGGTCAGCTACATAGAAGGCCTGCCGGAGCTCAAACACGAGACCACTTCTTTCAAGCTGTGTCTTCATTGCGGGAGCAAAAGTATTTTCTGTGGCTAAAATTCTGTCGAAATCGAGATTTTTACCGTTTAACAAAATTTTTCGTTCCAAAAACTGGTCAGCCACATAAAATGCCTGCCGGAGCTCAGCCAGCGAGACCACAGCTTCCATGCTGTGTCTTCAATGCAAGAGCAAAGGTATTTTCTGTGGCTGAAATTCTGTCGAAATCGAGATTTTTACCGTTTTTGGTGGAAATTGTGGGGAAAACAAAACTTTTCGTTCCAAAAACTGGTCAGCTACATAGAAGGCCTGCCGGAGCTCAACCACGAGACCTCTTTTTCCATGCTGTGTCTTCATTGCGGGAGCAAAGGTATTTTCTGTGGCTGAAATTCTGTCGAAATCGAGATTTTTACCGTTTAACAAAACTTTTCGTTCCAAAAACTGGCCAGCCACATAGAAAGCCTGCCGGAGCTCAATCAGCGAGACCATAGCTTCCGTGCTGTGTCTTCATTGCAAGAGCAAAGGTATTTTCTGTGGCTGAAGTTCTGTCGAAATCGAGAATTTTACCGTTTTTGGTGGAATTTGTGGGGGAAAACAAAACTTTTTGTTTCAAAAACTGGTCAGCCACATAGGAGGCCTGCTGGAGCTCAACCAGCAAGAACACAGCTTCCATGCTGGGTCTTCATTCCGGGAGCAATGGTATTTTCTGTGGCTGAAATTTTGTTGAAATCGAGATTTTTACTGTTTTTGGTGGAAATTGTGGGGGAAACAAAACTTTTCGTTCCAAAAACTGGTCAGCCACATGGAAGGCCTGCCGGAGCTCAACCAACGACAAAGCCCACGCGTTGATTTAGAGGATTTTTTGAAACGAAGTCCCCCATGACTCCGAAAATTTTTACGAAGTCCCCTTTGACCCCAGAATTGGGGTGCCTGACATTCTGAGGCTTTGGCTATTGCCACACTTCGCTCAAAAGCGCCAAAAAGCGCTTAAAAGTGCCTCAAAGCGCCCAAATTTCTTTGTTGTCTCTTCACTTTCTCGTGTGAGGAGAGATGAGAGAGTGAGGAGGGGGGTTAGAGTAGTTTGGGCGCTTTTGAGCGCTTCTGAGCGTAGTCTGGCTAGGGCCTTCAACATTCGACAAACTTTTCCAGCATAAGTGTTTATTAAGGCAACATACACGTGACACAAAAGGCATTTTGCCGACTGAGGTGAGCAAAGGATTGTAAAGGAATGTTTTGAGGTTCATCTTAATGAGAGATTTTTACCGTTTTTGGTGGAAATTGTGGGGGAAAACAAAACTTTTCGTTCCGAAAACTGGTCAGCTACATAAAATGCCTGCCGGAGCTCAACCACGAGACAACATGTTCCATGCTGTGTCTTCATTGCGGGAGCAAAAGTATTTTCTGTGGCTAAAATTCTGTCGAAATCGAGATTTTTACCGTTCTACATAGAAGGCCTCCCGGAGCTCTTAATGAGATCCATAGCAAAAAATTCTCAAAGTTCAAAAATTCGATTCATCTTTGAAAAGAAATTTAGTGACAGAAATGTACAGTCAATGGTGGCGCATCTGCAAATGACCGTCACCTTCAAAAAGTGGTCAGTGGAAAAATTTGGGCAGCTAGTGTTGCAGATCGTATTAAAGAGATCAGTATGTGAACAAAAAAAAATCTCAAAATTCAAATTTTTCGAAGGATTTAGCAATTTCGATTCAGAAAGGGTGGCGAAAAAAAATGTGCTTTTTGAAAGTTTCAAAATGGTGAAAATGAGAAAACAATTAGCAAAAAATAAGAGTGTGGCAAAATGTAGAGATGTAGTGGAGATATCTTGCCTTCGTTCAGGTGCTTCAAGTCAAGAACGGATTAGCTGGACGTGCCATCAGAGCAGGGATATCCTGGCGGTAGAATGCGTTAGGAATCTGCGCCGGATTCTGGCGGAGGTTGTTGTCGATTTCCTGATTCTGCTTCATCTAAATGAGATTTTTTTGGCATAAAAATTGAGCATTAAAAAAATTCAAAACTCACCAGTCTATACTGGAAAAAAAATATAGAAGCAGCAGAACCAAATTTGTCGAAAGCGCAAAACCGTCGATGACTCCGAAAGTGGGACAATCACATTTCAAGGATGGCTGGAGTGCCTAAAAATAGAATGACAAAAAATAAATAGATCTGAAATTAGAAACTAGAAACTAGAAAATAGACTTACAATGGGTTGTTGTTGTTGGTATGGTTTTTCGAGATATTGGGCATTGGCGACTTCGACGTTAACGGCCAAAAAGATGAGAATGAGACATTTGAAATAGCGCCACTTATACCTAAAAAGTATTAGGCTAAACCTTCATTATAGTGTTCTTGTCATACAAAGCACAGGGGAAAGATACATTTGCCGATTTGTGATTTCGATTTCTACCTAAACCTAGAGTAACCATGGAGGGAAGAATTTTTGTGCGGAGAAAGTGTGACATTTCTAATCAGCATGTCGAATAACCCCTCAGTGCGAAGTTACAGCAAATTTTGAGATTTTGACCCCCTACCGTAATCCTACCGTAACTCCACCGGATGGCGCTGTCACACGAAATAAGCATCTACTGGTGTTCAGCCTACCAAATAACGCTGGATTCCAAAGACACAATACATTAATATCACTTTGCGAAACACGCACACGAGGTACTTCCACGTTTTCAAACATCGAATATCTCAGAAGCATCGACTTGTGCCGCAGAGAATTGAAGTGCAAGATTTGCGCATTTGAAAACAGCGAAAATTCGAGAATTTGTACGACAACAGCTCAGCTCTCAACCCTTATTTTGAATTTTGCAAAACTGACGTCAACGTCAACTACTAGATGTTATCGTCGTTACGAAGATAGAATGTTTAGCAGCAGACTAAGAATTAGTAACGTAAAATGAGAAGACATGTGATGAGAGTACGTTAGAAGTGTTGATATATAATATAAATACCAAAAATGCAGCCGAGAGAGTTCTGAGCCCTAGAATAAGACTGGAAATACTGATAGACTAAAGTCAAATGCACTCTCCCTTCCATCATTCAAGAAAGATTACATAAAGTGCATAAAATTTTTGAATACGTGACCCGCTTTTTTGTTGCTTTGAAAGCCGTTAAAAGTTTATGAATGCTCAGTTCGTCACGGCTATAATATATTCAAAACAAATCATTTTCCCCTATTTTGTTTCGTAGTAGAAAGAAATGAGTGTTCACTTACTTGGAACTTACCGGATCGGTTTATATGACACAAACTGTTCTATTTTACCCAACATCTTTGGTAAATTTGTGTGCTCTAATGTTATTTCTACAATTTGTGGCCACATATTACCCCTATTGTAATAGAAGTATGCGGAAAAAGCATTGAGAAGTGATCGTTAAGTACCATTTTTAGAGGTGATTTTCTTTCATCTTGAACTTTCCACTAACTTCGTTACTAGCATTAGGTGCGTGAAAAATAATAAAAAACAAATTGCGAGTGAGGAATTTTGGATCTTTCATCAAAGTTTTCGTACACGCATCGGCTGTTTGACCATCACAATGATTGAGTCCTATGTTCATCAACCGTTCTTGCTCAAACCTACGTCTTTAAGTTTCATGTCTTCTCGTAAGCAATTTTCAGTCTCACTATTTCTGACCTTTTTTCTTTGCATTTTCGGAAAGGCACCTCGCCAGAGCCCCGCCTATAGTGATTTTTACGCGCAAGTTTTATGGGCAACGTTTTGTGGACAACAAGAATGCCAAAACTATTAAATCAATGATATTTCATAATCGACAAAACACTTGTACACCACATAGAAAGAGTTGCACAGCCTAGTTGTGATGCACATAACCATACTGCGAAATCAGAAATAGTCTGATTCAGCCACCTCGACTAGCCTTGACTTCACGCGATTTGGTCGTCGCGATTCAATCGCTAAAGACAAGTGTTACGAGTTCATTGCATGCTAATCTTCTTGTATCTCGGTTGTCTTGTATCTCGGTTGCGATAGTAAGTCACAATTAGTCGTGTTGGAAAACTATCACGACCGAAATGCAAGAAGATCGGCATGCAATGACAGTGTCAAAGTTTACATGTCGCGTTCATTCGCGACGACCAAATCGCGTAAATTCTGCCCGAGGCCCAATGTGGAATAGCGAGGTAAGCTAACAAATCAAACAATGAAAAATTAAATCAATAAATCAAACCCACCTTGTCTGGCTCTTGTCGTACCATCTGTCTTTCTTGTTGTTGACTTCATTCGGCTCCATTGCGAATACTTTCTGAAACGAAAGAATATTAAAAACAAAGAAGACAGAAAACACAAAGAGACGGAAAGAGAAGAAAACGAAAAGGAGCACATGACAAGACAAAAAAACGAAATTGCAATCGGCGCCACTTCGAAGGGCTCCGTGACACACATGTGATTGGAGCGTAATATCTATCAAAGCCTCTATTTTCATATTATATTTGGCTCGTAGAAAGAGCAGAGGCCATGGTTTGATTTGCTCTCTTCACCATGTACTAGATTTTCAAGCGTTTTAATCGTCCAAATCAAAAAGGTCCAAAACTTATGTGACTTCGAAATTTATGCTCCGAACCAACCCAGTTGGTTCGGTGGTTGGTTTTGAAACCAACAAATCCGGAACGGGTATTCAGACACATAAGTTTTTAGAACTTTTTACATAACATAGTTTGGAGTAATATTATATGCACATAGCCCAAATTTGGGGTCATAAGGTTGTTTGTGCGTTGTAAACAAGCCATTTGTTTGTTTGAGTCTTGCATTTGAAATTCGCGCGCTTGCGAAAGAACACGTTCAACTCGTGAAGCCTGACATGTTCGTCGTGTTTTTTGGCGCTTCCTCCTGGACCTCATAAAAACGATGTCCCCGTTGCTTCTAACTCCAAAAACGAAGTCCAGTTTGACCTCAAACCAACGCGTGCCGGGCCCTGACCAACGAGACTACAGCTTCCATGCTGGGTCTTCGTTCCGGGAGCAAAGGCTGTGCTGCTTTTGCTGCTCTGTTGCTCTTCGGATTAAGAGTTTCGTCAACATTTCACAAAACGTAGAGTTCTGACAACTATTCTAAGGAGAGTTGGCAATGTTCAGATATCATATCAAACTATCATGCAAAATGGCCAGAAGGCGGGCAAGGGAATCATTGGAATGAAGGTGGAACGTAGCTAAAGACTTGAAAAAAGAGGAAACGTAAAACGCAGTATGTTAACAGTAGAGATTGCTCCAGCTGTGAAGGCTGTGATCAAACCGAGCATACGATATTTTATCACACACAATTCCTAGCAGGCAAAGTCAAAACACGTGCCGTCATCGCATGCGGTGTAGGCTGCGATCAATAGTCAAACGCCGAGACAACCCTCTCCTCTCTAACTTGTCTGCGGTTCGGAGTACACCGCTCCTCTAAAATTCTCATGGTCTATAACCTCTGCGAGAGGGTGTGATGTCTCGCGCACTCACACTGTCAACAACTCGCCCTCCGCAACTCTGAAGGGGATCGTCAGGGTGGGTGAACCATATGTAGTTTTCGTCGTCTCGCCGGATGTTTCCAGTTTATACAGGGTGTCCCAGAAATTGTATCGAACGTTTGATCGTTAATATCTCTCTTCCCAAGAAGTCTTTTGCCTTGCATCAGGCACCGTTTTGTAGAGCTGGCTTTAACTTAGATTTGCATCATAGAACGATTCACCCATCTCTCTTCATTACTGTAGGATTACGGTAGAAACTTGAAACATATGGTGTCAATGTGGAAGAAGCTTCCGTTTCAAAATTTTTCAAAAAAGTTTGAAAACTTGTGTATTGGAGTTTTTGTGGACGCTGAGTTCAATATTCAACTATTCACAAGATTACGAAGCTTTCTAAACGGTGTAACCGCACTTTTTAGGAACATTGAAACAATGGCCGCCACCTCTTACCTAACATAACTCTTCGATGAAGCATCATAGTAAATTGGGAACTTTAAGTTAGAATCAGCAACTCCAATTAGCCTAGTGTAAAAGTTTTCAGGCTGTTTTGTTTCCTTTCTGGGGCAAAATATGGCTTTTCATTGCTTGATACCCTCTTTGAAGTTTCTACCGTAATCTTACAGTAATGAAGAGAGATGAGTGATTTGTTCTATAATGCAAATTTAAGTTGAAGCCAGCTCTACAGATTGGTATTTGAAACAATGGAAAAGACTTTTCTAGAATAGAGATATTAACGATCAAACGTTCGATACATTTTTTGGGACACCCTGTATATAAGAAGGATGAGTATAGGTCGATTTAGGCAGTAACCACCGTGAACTAGAGTTTTTAATGATAGATAAAGTAAAATCATGCGAAGTTTCCACTGTCCGAAATCTCCACACTTCCACTTCCACTCCACTTATATATCTGGTGATTGAAGATGTGAGCAAATGCGACTTCATAGACTTTGAAGGGTAGGTTGCTTCACCAGACTGTGAAAAAATCAGGTTGATTAAAGCAATGGCCGCCAAGAACGAGAATTTATAAAAATTACGCCATTTCAGATTGCTCAGTGACAGCTGACGTTTAGACTCCTATGAATCTGGAATGTGAGGGTGTGCAATGTTGCGACTTTATAGCTCTTGTAAAGTAAGGATTGCACTATCAGAGTGTGTTTCTCAGCAGTACCGATACAATGAAATGGCACCGAGATTCAGGCTTTCAATGAAACAGATTAAAAACCGCTTTTTGAATTTCAACAGCTCATAACTTCTTCAGAATTGCATGAATCATGTTGCGTCTTCATAGGTTGGATTCTCCTCTTCAAGAGCTCAGATATATAATACTAGTGACCCCCGCGACCTTGTGTGTTGCATGCCGGGGAGAATAGTAAATTCACGCCGTCTGCATCTCACGCCGTGTGCATATCTTGTCAGTCAAAACATCTAAGTTCGACGACGTGCTCCTGAGCTTTTGATCAAAAGTTGGTTAGTATACGTTGGGTTGAGTAAGACTTCGGAGCGTATGTCGTGAACGCCGCGTAGTCTGGCCCTACCCGTTCCTGCCTTATATTGTCTAGCTTTCACAAATGCAAACCGCACACTCTCTCGGCTTTCCCATGCTGAAATCAATCCTCTCTCCAATGTTCTGGTAGTGATCTTAGGGCCGCACGCATCAACGTCCCCGCCGGGGAGGGAATCGCAGCTTCAGAAGAAAGTTTCATATCCTAAAGCTTCGAATTCCCGGTTCTCGCGCTGTCTACCTATCCGTAAGTACTCCCATCGTCATTCACTATCAACATCTTGAACAGGAGCAGGAAGCTGTACAAGCCGCTTTTTCCAGCATTTTGTTTGATCTCCTGATGATCCTGGCTGCCGACCGCCTTTCTTTGGAGTTATTCTTCTTCTTTCGAAGTCAACAAAAACATTCCAAAGTTGTGCTGTTTATCTAACCCAACAGTGCTAATCATGATTCTGGTATGAACAATTGATGTTTCGAAGTCATGAATTTGCGATGAACCACAAGTCGAAAGTTGACTATTGAAAAAATCGATATTCCACAAACTTTGTTCTTATCAGCAACATGCTGAGTTGGGTTAGATAATCATACGACTTTGGAAGGTTTTCGTTAATTTTCAAGGAAGAAAAATGATTTCAAAGAAAAGACGTTTGGTCGCGGGGGATCATCCGAGGAATCATACAAAAAGCGGGAGAATGCGACTTGTCTAGCTCCTTGCTCCCCTTCAATATGTTGATAGTAAAGGATGGTGGGAATACTTATGGATAGATAACATTTGATTCAACTGGCTTGGCTCTAACAAGGCGGAGCTCCGTGACTTAAGGTTAGCTAGTGATCAGAGATCAGACCTACTACATAGAAGTACAAATTCCACATAATCATGACAATTTCCAGAGTGCCTCCTCTCCTTCCCCGTCCCCTCTATACTACAGGGTGTCCCAAAAAGATGTGCACACCGTTTAATCGTTAATGACTCTTTTGCTTTCATGTCTTTTGCCGAGCCTGAGGTATCATTCTTTAGAGCGAGGTTCAACTTATAAGGAAAGCTACCTAACTTAGCTCGGCCTTTTGGCAAGTGACATACTCAGACAATCACAGGCTCTCAGCCGGCAGCCACAAAGCCACCGCGAAAACCCACAAAAGCGCAGTGGCCTCAGCGCCTCACTGTCGCTTCCCGCTGAGAACTGGCAGCGAGCGGGCTGCTATGAAGTCTTCAGCGCGAAGCGAAAGCGGCGGTTTCGCTCCGCGCTGAAGGCTTTATAGCAGCCCGCTCGCTGCCAGTTCTCAGCGGGAAGCGACAGTGAGGCGATGAGGCGTACGCGCTTTTGGTGGGTTTTCGTGGTGGCTTTGTGGCTGCCGGCTGAGAGCCTGTGATTGTCTGACTAGGCAACTGAAATATTGCTCACAACCTGCAATTGCGTTATGCATTCGAAGCCGGTACTTACGATCGTAAGTATATCCGAGCTGTATTAATTTGTTCATGATGCGATCCCACGCGTCCGCCTTTTTGTCTCTCATGTGATAATCATCGCGGGTGCGATCCCAGAGACATGGCTCGTCTTCCATGAGAGAGGCGAGAGTCTCGCAAAATTGAACGGGCATTTTCCTATATCAAGCATTCATGTTGTTATAGATGAGATAGTGTATTACAAATTGAGCAGAAAGGAAACATAACATGCTTGCATGGATCTGAACACAAAGCAACGATTGCTAGAAGAACGAGTTTGTGAATAACTCGTTGATATCATTAGCTCCAGCTTCGTAGAGAAAGATCGACCGACTAAAAGCAAACCCGACTAAAAGGAAACCTCCTTTGATAATAAATTACATCACGCAGCATAGTATAACAGAAACAAGAACGGAAGCCTAGTCAAAGAAATTATATTTATAAAGGAGCTGCTTACACAACAACATAGAGGAGAAGAGCAAAAGAGCAGGGATGAAAGGATAAAAACGTTACGAGCATCCCGTTTGTGCTTATAAGTCAATCCTACGCGCCTCACGGACAAAATCCGACCCTATGCGCTTTGGCTGCAATAGCGGCAACCGGCGCGAAAGCAGCTACCGGCTGCAAAAGCAACAACCGGCGCGGTCTGGAGGCTCCCTAGCGATGTAAATCTCGCTGTTCATTGGCCGACTTATGTTGATACCAGGGTCAAGCTTGTGATGCGACTGTTGCAACGGGGGGTCTAAAGAGGGTACCTAAGGTGGGGAGGGGGTCGTAAGAGAAGGTAATTAGGCTAAAATACCCTAAGCTCAAAAGGGAATTGAAAAGCAGATAATTATTTATGTTTTTCACAATAAATCTATAA